CTTTTGTTTGGAAGAATCTGATGGAAAGTTCGGCTAATCTTTACATAATTTAAATTAAATATACAATTCGCAAGCAGTTTTAATTTTTGTCATATATTGTTTATTTGATTATTTAGTACTGGCTAATATCATATCAGCTATGTTCAAATTTGCAAAAAAGGCACAGAGAGGTTATAGAGGCCCCTGGGGTAAAAAGGGAAAATGCGGATCACCTGCGAGCGAAGTGAGCAGAAAATTTGGCAAAAACGCCCCTTAGAGTAGCTTAAAACTCCTTTTTAAAACGTTTTCTTGGAGTAATTTCGACATGTTAAACGGTTGTCAAATATCCAACGAAAGCCCAAATTTTCCAATAAGATCGCTGATTAGGGGGGGGGGGGGCGAGCGCCCTGTTACGATACAGGGTTCCCTTACGGACAATATCACGTGACAATTGCATCATTGTGCTGTGATTGCATCAGCGTCTGCAAATATGTTTTTTGCATTACATATTACATAATTATTATTTCAAGGTTCTGCTAAGGGTATATAAAGGGTTTTTTCATAAATAAGGTTTAGTCTGTTGCTGCTAGAAGATAGAAGCTCTGTTGCTAGTTTTGTCGTTAGAGCCGTGCCGTTATTTGTCGAACTTGTTCTTTTCAGTCGTTAATTGCATTATTGCCGTTCAAGAGCAGCCTCTCTACATCAGCAGAGTGTGGTTTGGCAGCTACAAGACGAGCAATCGCGGTTGTCAGCATTTGATATTGCTTTTCTGATGCCAGACAACTCAGTAAGGGCGTGATACAAAGCGACTGCAGATGTTCCATTTATGCAGCTTCTTTGTATTCACTTGCAAAATCCACAAGTGGTAAGTCGGGGCAAATAACCTTGTGGCATGCTCGCAATTGCTCATTTGTTGTGCTGGAACTTAACTGCTTGAGAGGACTGAATGCGGCTGTTGATGCCAAACTATCATTATCAAGTCGATAATCCAGGAAATTGATTAATGACTGAATGACTTCATTTCTTATCGCATCGAAGCTACGACGATCAGATACATATCTATTGTATGTTCCTCTTCTCTCCTTCTCTGTCAAAACAGCACCCTTGAATTTATTTCCTTTCTCTAATTCCGACAAAAATCCAGCCCTACCACTTCCTTTGTGACAGATTTCCATGCGAGATTGATCCTGTGGGCAGCACACCAGATTTTTATCAGAGGAAGATTTGAATTGGATTTTTTTCTGTAATCATCATAAAGTGCCCAGAGGCCATTTTTTGCACCCGTGTTCATGTTATCGCCATCAGTCACAAAGGATGATGTCTTTCCGAATAAGTCATTCCACGAGAGTGGACTGCAAGCTTCCATTATTGCTGCAAGATACCCCTTAGCTCCTTTCTCTGATTCTCCAAAGCCATGAAAATAAAGGGAATCATTGCCATCTTGGTGCACAACTTTGGCTTCTAGGTGGATATTGTGTATTTGCATACGATCAACAGCACCATCGGTTCTCATTGGTACTGCAAGGCTTGCCATATTCCTTTCATATTTTGAATATCAGCCTTAACGATAAAGTCTAGAAGTTCTGCATGAGTTCCAGGAAACAGATCCCTGAAATCATCAAGGAACATGTCATTCATTGTCCCATTGTCCTTGAAGTAATCAGCTTTCATAGCAGCAACCTGACGAGATGGCCATGACCACGCACTTTGAGTACCACGTTCTGCATCGTTGAAAACAGTTGCCATGTAGGCACCGATTTTCCTGTACAACCGCTTATTTGCCTTACTGATCTGAATACCAATGGTTGACCGGTCTTCGACAATGGCAGGCCTTTTAAGTTTTCTAACCGGTCTGCTCTACATGCTGCCAAATGCAATTCTGACTTTATATGGGTATCCATATAAGCTTTCCTTATTTCGCCCCCCTATAGGGTACAAACAGAGGGTACCTGCTTGCTTTTCTTATGAGATTGCACAACATCGGGATTGTCTATACAAACTTTGCATCTTACTTTCTTTCTCCCTTCCTTACCAAACTTCTTAAAGCAAGAATTGATAACTATTTGTTCACGTTTCCGTTTGAGTGTTTTAGACGAATCTCCAACTTTGCTGGTGCTTTGATCAATTTAATTGTCCTGCTCCTCTTGCTCATCTACTCTCCGTTCTTCTACTTCTGACTTTTCAATTTCCACATTTTGAGTTACTTCCTCATTTATATTTGCACCATAACTTTCCATTTCTGTACTTTCACCAGTTTTCTTCTCAGGTACTTCCTCATTCTTCACTAGAACCAAGCCTTTTCTTTTCTTCACTTTCGCCAGTTTTCTTTAACTAGTTTAGCATTTTGGATATGTAAGGAAATATTCAAATAGAGTTTAAACAAGTTTCATAACAACTGAACTACTGCAGTTATTCAGCATTCCAAGGATATATTCAATAGGCCATATTGAGATTAACTCAAAGGAGGCTACAAGGCTTAATACTGGAATGAGGCAGACTCATGGCAGATAAAGAATAGTTTGTAAATATTATATAGCCCGTGGCCTGTTCACAGAATGATATTAAATTACGCTGACTTAAAGTTATTCCAGTGTTTTCATAAAATTACTGACTTGCTCACCAGGAAATGATGGACTACTATATTTGAGTCATTTCAAATATTGGTTAATTCAACTCCAGACATTATGCCAATCTGAAAACAATATTCCAAAAATCTTTTAGCTGTTTAAATGGCAATGCAAGGTTCAATTGCAAGATTGGAAAACCTTATTTCCAATTTCAAGGAAATCCTCCCACTAATTTCTGATTTCAAGACCACAATTTGGATTTTCAAAACCACTATTAGTGTACAAGACCACACTAAATTAGGCACTGCCAGAGTGTGTCTTGAAAGAGACAGGGGCTTATTTTAAATTTTGGCATGGTAATGGGACTTAATAGAGAAGGGGCTTAATAGAGCTTTCACAGTATGCCGATTTACAATGATTTACAGAGATTCATGATCATTTGAGCTGATTCACGATGACCTTCGCAGATTTATTTTGACTCATGATGATTCATGATAACTCAGAATGATGCACAATTAGCAACACTGCTTCATGGTGATTAATGCTTGTTCACAACTATCTGCATTCAATTACAATAGTTCATGATTATGCAGAGATATACCAAACTTGAAGAGTTTATTGTTTCATTCGAAGTTTTATTGCTAGAAAAAGTGGCTTGTGATCACTGTAGTAAGATTCTGAAGGTGAACATTTTCACTGGGTCACGGATTCTGGAAGTTTCTTTATGGTATATGCCAATCTAGGCACTGTTCCAATGACAAAACTGCAATTCTAATTGCAATTCAACCAATGATGTGAGAAAAGTTTCATGGAGATTCTCTTAGCTGTGTCAAACAGCTTTGTTAATTATTGAAAATTTTATCTAATAGAAAACCTTGATTCCCACAATAGCCATTTCTTCCATTGTTGGTTAGTTACTTACAGGGTCCCCCACCATTCCTATATGTACTCATTTTTGGTACATGACAATCGATTACTTCGTCACTTCGCCTCCGAAAAGGGCAAACAAAACCCGAAAGTTGGTGAAGGAAAGTAGTTAGAAACCGTACTAAAACATTATAGAAATGTAAGAGTGACGGCTCATTTGCCTCGTCAAGACTTGCTCTTCTCAAAGGTGGTCTTGTTGCGGACAACAGAGCCCGTTCAACCGAGAATCGGGATGCGAAAAGTGAGGTAAATCGAGGAGTTTTAGTTAGACTATCTTGATATAACCAATGAATCACTGTAATTTTGGTTCTGTTAATGAACTCATGACCAGTGGCCAAATTACAGAGGTTTGGTGGGGCAAGAGCCTGTGCTCTCATCTGGCCATATTTAAGCCAATACGTAGCACTTTTATAGCTTTTGAACTCCATTTAAAGGAACTTTGGTACTCGCAACAAAAAATAACTCACAAGTGGAAAGTTTTTGGCAATTGCCTCCTTGAAAATGATTCCTCATCATTGCCACGTTCACTTTCGCTCCTCAAATTTTCCATGTTTTGAGCAGCTAAAGACCCCAACATTGCAGTCCACGATCTTTGGCTGAATGCTGTTTACCACTGCAAGACCGAATCATGGGTACGGCCGAGATGGCGCCGATTGAAAATCGCGCGCTTCGAATACCCTGTTGTGAGAGCAATGGTTTGCTCGAATTTTTAAATTAATTTACTTACTGGGGAATGTAATACCAATGCAACAAAAAGGGCATAAAGCTCCTTCAGAAAAACTGCCATAGACATCAGAAAAGTCAGTCATGAGGCTACGTTCCCACATCATCGAGAGCGAGTTGGGCCGTTGGTGCATCGGCGCCAATCGCTCAACCTACCATATAGGGGTTACTAAGGGAAGTTACACAATAACCCCCAAACAGGAAAAGCCTCTTTTCCCCACTAATAGCCAATGCACCAGTCCTACCTATTAGCATCAGAAAACTCTAAGAAGCATGAAAGATGCCTAAAGGTATGAGAGGTTTCAACGATGCCATGAAAGAAACTCAACACGCAAAGTTATACTGAAAAGGCATTTAGCATAAAGAAACAAATTGAGGAAGGGAGGGCTGGGAAAATACAATAAAACAGCCTAGTTGTATTGTGGCTTCACCAAGCAAGATGAGACCCACGCTATGCCAAAACCTTAAATACCCCTAGATTAACCAAGGGAATGAAAACGCCACGAAACACACATCTTACCCTAGTTATACAAATTAAATTCACAGGAGGCCGAAAGACTCCCCGCAATACCCACCATAAACTAGTAGAGCAGATACAAGAAAAACTCGAGGAAGCGTGGCACAGAAAACATAACGAAAAAGTAATAACAACAATCTCATGCGATTTAGTTAACGCTCAAAAGCCCCTCGTGAAATTAACTCATTCAGTGGGATTTCGCGAGAAAATGAGAGAAACTGCGCATGCTTTATCAATATATTTTTCCGATTGAATTCAGACATTGAGCAACAAATAAAAAGAAAGCCACGGCAGGTTCAGGCTATTTTTCCAATACAAAAGTTATGATACAAGTTATTGATCACCATAGAAATATCTAGCCACAAAAGGCGTTTTCTTTCAAATGTGCTGATTTCTACTGATGTCTATCTCAGTCCTTCGTCCCTTCACGATATGGAGAAAAAGTAGAGATAGCACAGAATAGAGTTATTCTGAGTATAGCAGCGTTGAAATGAAGGGAAAACGACTAACTCTTATAATATTGCTGTTTGTCTGCTTGACGATACTGGTATTTCATGGAGGAACTTTATATGGAAACAAGAAGTGTTTTCATTCTACAGTGACAAAAAAGGCTGACAAAGAAACAAACGGACTTGAAAATGACTCGGAAAATGTAGGACAGATTACTGATGAAGTTGCTCGCATTTCGAAGAAGCAAACTTCGAATGACTACACTCACAAGGATACTAAAGTCATCCTTATTTACTCTACACTTTTCCTTCAAAGACATTGGTCTTGGATGGTTGGAAAACAAATGCTCGAGCACTTTGGTTCTTGTGATCGATACAAAAATTGCCTTGTGACATATGACAAGAGCTGGGTAAATGATGCACATGCCGTTTTGTTCCATGGAAGGGACGTAGAAATGGATCATAAAAGACAATACCAACCTGAACAGTTGAAAGAAGTTCAAAACAAAATTTCGAGGAAGGATCAAAAGTGGATATACCTTAGTCATGAGAATCCCCAGCAGAACCCATTAATGTATGACAAATACAATGGGATTTTTCACTGGCTTGCAACCTTTGATAGGAACTCCAACATCTTCGCTCCTTACTCGACTTATATTGCAAAGAAGAACCCCCATAAAGTGACTCGAAATTATGCGAAAGAAAAAACTGGCCTAGTTGCATGGGCAGTCAGCAACTGTGGGCTGCTACGAGAGGACTATGCCCTCGAACTTCAAAAATATGTTACTTTAACAGTGTATGGTTTGTGCAGTAAACGGTTCAAAAACCAAAGAAGCTGTGCTCATTCAAGTGATACTTGCAAGAAAGAACTCTCAACTTATAAATTCTACCTTGCATTTGAAAACAATTTTTGCCATGATTACGTCACCGAAAAATATTGGGAAAGAATTATGCAGGATGTTGTTCCAGTGGTAATGGGAGCAAATTATGACAAAGGAGTTGCTATTCCAGGATCATACATAGATGCCAGTGAATTTGAATCAATCCAAAAACTAGCTGAGTATCTATTGTATCTTGACAAAAATGATGATGAATATAACAAGTTCTTTGCATACAAGGGGAAATTTGAGCTTGGGAATGGTAGCTTTTTTTGTGCAATTTGTGCAGCTCTACACGAGCAGAAACCTGGAGAATCTTCTACTGCCATTGATTTAGGAAAATCATTTAATTATGAAAAAAATTGTGGCATTTACAAACCAAAAATTGAGAAGCTGCGTAAACAAATAGAGGAGTCTCAAAAAAGTAGGCCTGCTTAATAACTGGCAAATGGTGCAAGAAGCTGAATGAACTGATGCCACTGAAAAAGGTTTATAATTTTTTTGTGGAGTTTCTATTTGTGGAATGATGCGTGTTGTGGTGTTTGGGGGCTTCTTTCTTGCATATTCTTGCTGGCATTATACATAACAAATATTTTACAGTTATGTCGAGATGATTGTTCAATAGAGTTCTAAAGTAAAGACATTACAAAAATACATTTTTAAAATTTTTGAATTTGGATCCTATAGCCTGAAATCTAAACCGATTTTAGACATATTGACTAATTTTGCTTATTTGGAAGTATTTCAAGGTGATCTTTTTTGTTATGTGGTTAAAATTAAAAGCTCTTTTCTATTGAGTAGTTAGTGTCGCACCCTGAAGGGTAGGCGTTCCTCTTTTGGCGAGCAAATAACTACAGTAAGTACTATAGACTGAGTGTCGCAACTTGACTCATATGACTTTCCTGAATAAATGCCTTAGCTGAAATGAGAATACATATTTCTTAGGATACAGGTTTCATATACACAGCAATAAAGCGAACGAGGGATAATACAAAAATACGATATGAACAACAAAACGGTTTTCGAATGCGGGTTAACATATATTAAAGTAGTAATGTTCGATAGTTTAATACAATTCCTTAGTTACTTCTATGCATCCAATAACCACAATTGTCCAAAATCAAAGCCAAGTAAGTAGATTAGTGGGTTTCAACGCGTTTGTTTTTACAATATGTTTTCATGTTTCTGTAACTATGGCACGCCATAGTGGACAAAAGTAGGTCAAGATTTCAAGTTTGGGTCAAGTTTTTGCGATCACCGGTCAAAAACTTGCGATTACTGGTCAAGAATTTGCTATCTGTAGTCACGAACTTGCGATTACCTGTTAAGAATGATTAACTGTATGCTAAGGGTTCGATCATGCAATCACTAGGTGAGATCGTATCATGCAATCAGCTCAAGTATTAAAATCACTAGGTGAGATCGTACAGAAAGGAAAACATGGTCAGTCGTCCTGCACGGTTCAGGGGCTGTGCCCGTAGGGTGCCACGTGATCTCTCTCTCTAGTCCGCATTTCACTCTTGTGCTTTTTTGCATAACGTTTCAAAATGGTGGTCAATCACGCGAGGGACAAACATGCGACCTACCTGGCCTTGCTGTCTTAAGGCCACTACTCTGGTGTCTCTAATAGAAGGGAAAGGTAATAGAAGGGGGTGTTCATTCCGGCCAATTTTCAATAGAAGGGGGGTGCTAATAGAAGGGGTGCTAATAGAAGGGGAGTGTTCATTAGAAGAGGGTGTTCAGCCGGCCAATTTTCAATAGAAGGGGGTTGCTAATAGAAGGTGGTGTTCAGGTTGGCCAATTTTCAATAAAATGTCAGCAAATTTCAATAGCAAAGGGGAGCTAATAGAAGGAGTAAATCTTTTAATAAAAACAGGGGCGGATCCAGCAAAAAACCTGACTGAGTTCCAAGCCAAGGATAGAGACTTTATAATAATATAATAATATAATAATAAATAATTTGTTTAAAGTTGGCGTACTAAATGAACGGCTGATAGCTATAAAGAAGCTAATTAAGGCCAACTATCTATAAAGAGTTAGTATGAAATAAAAATATATGATACAATATTAAAAAGGTTTATGGTATAATGTTCTAAATAAAACCTAACCCAGCAATAAATTTTTTACACAATCTACAGTCGCATTCTATAGGGTGTGCTCTTAATTCTTTTTTAAATGTTGCCAATGATTGGGACTCACTTATACTGTGAGGTAGTGTTTGCCACAGTTTTTGACCTAAATATCTCACAGTTTCTATACCATAAGAAGTTGTCCTGGCTTTTGGAATGCAAAGATTATTTTTAGTTCGCAAATCATAATGTACATTTCTTGTTTCAAAAATCTCACTCATGAAACTAGGGTTCAGGTTATGTTTGGTTTTGTATATTTCAGATAACGCATTGATAACTGTGCATTATTTTTCATATTTATCCATTTTGGTGGCACTGAGGGGGAGGGGTAGATACTATCTACTCACTAAATGTAGATTCTAGATTTCTTTCCGACAAAACAGTGCCTCTGTGAAAATTTTTGCAACCCCCTCCCTTTCGCAATACCCTTTTGTTTGTTTTGGGTGCCACAGCAAAGGTTTTCCCTTTTGTTTTGCTCGCAATTTGTTGTTTTGCCTCGGTAGACACTAGCCTATTCACCAAAATATGGTGTTCATCTTCCGTGCCATCAAAGACTGCAATTCAAAGCAAAAGTAGTTAACACTCCTGGAAAATAAATGATATCTCCTGGTTTTGTCTCAAACACTTAATTATTCTGCTAGAATGCTGTGAGGGTCGCGAAAATATGACATCTGCAGTCGCCATTTCGAATTCAATGTTTTGTAGTTTCCAAATCACGACAGAGAAGAAACTGGTAATTTTAAGATTTTGAAGAGACTGTGATAAAACTTTTTTAGGTTTTTTTAAGAATTTTTAGGTTTCACTTTTTTAGTTTAAATATTACTTGTTTCAGGCACACTATTTTAAGCTATATGTTGGAAAACTGACTGGATTTGTGCACCAAGGAACTCACTCTGGATCCGCCTCTGTAAAAGGCAATGAAATTATAGACAGGGAATTTTGTAGAAAAAACTAGCAAACTGCCTAACCTCAAATTTTATTTCACATTCTTACTAAATAGACCATGGAGATTCCAAATCCAAGATGGGCCAAAAAAATTATCACCGGAAGGTACTGTTTTTGATGACGTCATCAAAAAAATGATAAAAAATCTTTAAAAATCGGCCAAGGACTCGAACTTAACTTTTTTTGCATTTTTGCACTACCAATGAGGATAACTATGCAGATTTCAAATCTGAGATGAAATGAAAAATATCTTGAACGGAAGTCAAATTTTGTGATGACGTCATCAACTTGGAGAAAATTCACTTTGACCCTATTTAATTGTTTTCTCGCAACTATCATTGTCAAATATGTTCCATATTCGAATTGCACACATTCAGTGCTTTTAAAAGATGTATTGAATTTCTATTATACTTACTTTTAAACGTTCTTTCATGACGTCATCATCATTTTATGACGTCATCGCCTTTTAGAGGTAATTGAATAACGCGTGAAAGGATGCTTAAAAATCTTTAGCTAGTTAAAAAAGTCATTCAAAATTAAAATTTCGTTGTATAGAAAATGATATGGATCCATTCATCCTTCATCACTGTCTCCTTTGCTGGAACTCCAGAAGAAAATGTAGTTCCACTCATCATCGTCTGCTTTAAGCTGATCATCTCACCATAATTTTTCCCATGGCCTAGTCCTCATTGGTTACGGAATTTTCTTCGATTTCATCACTAGAGCGCTGCAGATTTTGCAGTTTTTTAGCGGTGGGTGTGCGGGGCCCTGCACAAGATGAACATAATTTGTGTGAAAAAATTTTGGAATTATTTCGCTGACTCCAGTATTTTCTGCAGATATTCACAGCTTTTTTAACGTTGAAGATCGGATATTTTTGTTATCAAGCCGTTAAGAAACGTTTTTCTCTTTATATCCTCTTCGTGCCATTTCTTATTTATTTATCAAATGTATGTTCAAAATTAGAATATGTAAAGAAATTTTGTTCCTATAAACCACACTAAAACCACCTGTAGGCCAGATCATTCGTTCCATCGTATGTCTAACCAAAGCTTAAAGGCAATTTCTCTTACAATCTTCTTTTGATAATGTAACCAATAGTAAATGCTTGTGTCAACCAGTATGGATCTGTATTTCCTTCTTAGCCCTGGTAGAGCCTTGAACTAGCTTTAGAAAGTAAGTTTGATACAACAAGAACCAGACCAGATCATACAAAATTTTTTCGACAAGTTATCAAGTAGGAATCAAGTTTTGCAATGGGTTATCGCAGAGATAAAGTGTTATACCCGCACTAAATATATTCCATTTCAAGGTTTTTGTTGCTGTTAGTGATGCTTGGCAGTCTTCTGCATTACAAAGATCAAGATAATCCAAAGGCTTTACCAGGGCTAAGAAGGAAAGCAGTTAATTTTGAAAGCACTTGTGTTTACCAATAAAGAACAAACCTTAAAGATAATCAAAGATTCCACGACATACTCGCTTAATTGCAGCTATGAAGAGGCTGACATCCACTTGATATTCCATTCTTTCCTCATCGATAAAATTTATTAGTTGTCGAAAGGACACTAATGTATTTTTCTGCTTATTGTGTGAAAAGCCTTCAAGGAAATATTCCTTAAAGACTGACAACGAAAGTACGTTAATTTTGGAACGTCGTATCTTACCTGGGTTTAGATAGTTCCAAAAATCTACCGGCTGTTCATGCAGTTATTGGCTGCGAAACAACACCGGTAATGTTGTTGTAAGGAAAGCTAACATTTTAAAAAGCTTTAGGAGTGTTCTGGAAAGGGAAAATTGCTCGAGAGAGTTAGGATGAGACAGGAAATCTGCAAAGACATTCTCACGAAAGCGATAAAATTTGTGCAAAAATAATCATACAAAGGGAAATGTGATGAAACACTTGTGCAGATAAGAGTAAGAATTCGCAAGGCAATGAAAAACAGATAATCAGAAGCTCTACATACAGATCCATACTGGTTGACACAAGCATTTACTATTGGTTACATTATCAAAAGAAGATTGTAAGAGAAATTGCCTTTAAGCTTTGGTTAGACATACGATGGAACGAATGATCTGGCCTACAGGTGGTTTTAGTGTGGTTTATAGGAACAAAATTTCTTTACATATTCTAATTTTGAACATACATTTGATAAATAAATAAGAAATGGCACGAAGAGGATATAAAGAGAAAAACGTTTCTTAACGGCTTGATAACAAAAATATCCGATCTTCAACGTTAAAAAAGCTGTGAATATCTGCAGAAAATACTGGAGTCAGCGAAATAATTCCAAAATTTTTTCACACAAATTATGTTCATCTTGTGCAGGGCCCCGCACACCCACCGCTAAAAAACTGCAAAATCTGCAGCGCTCTAGTGATGAAATCGAAGAAAATTCCGTAACCAATGAGGACTAGGCCATGGGAAAAATTATGGTGAGATGATCAGCTTAAAGCAGACGATGATGAGTGGAACTACATTTTCTTCTGGAGTTCCAGCAAAGGAGACAGTGATGAAGGATGAATGGATCCATATCATTTTCTATACAACGAAATTTTAATTTTGAATGACTTTTTTAACTAGCTAAAGATTTTTAAGCATCCTTTCACGCGTTATTCAATTACCTCTAAAAGGCGATGACGTCATAAAATGATGATGACGTCATGAAAGAACGTTTAAAAGTAAGTATAATAGAAATTCAATACATCTTTTAAAAGCACTGAATGTGTGCAATTCGAATATGGAACATATTTGACAATGATAGTTGCGAGAAAACAATTAAATAGGGTCAAAGTGAATTTTCTCCAAGTTGATGACGTCATCACAAAATTTGACTTCCGTTCAAGATATTTTTCATTTCATCTCAGATTTGAAATCTGCATAGTTAATTTAGTGCAAAAATGCAAAAAAAGTTAAGTTCGAGTCCTTGGCCGATTTTTAAAGATTTTTTATCATTTATTTGATGACGTCATCAAAAACAGTACCTTCCGGTGATAATTTTTTTTGGCCCATCTTGGATTTGGAATCTCCATGGTCTATTTAGTAAGAATGTGAAATAAAATTTGAGGTTAGGCAGTTTGCTAGTTTTTTCTACAAAATTCCCTGTCTATTAGTAGGATGGTGACACTGGTTACTTGATAATGGATAGATGGTTAGAGATAAAGATAGACAAACATAACAAGGGGAATTATGACCATTAAAAAATAACTACATAACATAACAAGGGAAATTATTGACAAGTGAAAATTGCGTGTTCTGATCATCACAGATTTGTAAAATTTAATAGAAGGGGGGTGCTTATAAGCGACGGGGGGAGGGCAAATTCTTCTGAAATTAATACACGGGGGAGGCGTCTATTAGAGACACTAGAGTATTCTTTCTCCGGTAGAAGAGGTGTGACCATAGTAACAACGAAACTTTGGTCTCATTTTCTTTAACCACCTTGAGCTATACATTGCACTCTTTCCCATTATTGCTCTCAGGCACTTCCTCTTACTCTTTCTAATGGTCAGGCACATCTTTTTTCTTGTTCGTCTACCAGCAAGACGAAATTTTTAACCTGGATGTTTGGTCTTCCCTGTTGCCACATTTTTCGAGATGTTATGAATGTCAGATACTGTTGTTTCCATTTTTCGGCAAACATGTCTGCAAGACTTTGCACCAGTTTCCAATGATATTTGATATCGTAACACGTTTGCTGTGGATGCCCTTTGGAGGATTTTTTTTTCATATCCAGATAAAATAATACAATACAAAATACATTTTACTATACTTGTTAATTACTCTACGATACTACAGGTACGATACCATGGGGAGCAAAGGACAAAGACAACCCGATGGCCATGACATGCAACTAGACAAACAAATGCGAACGCTACACGTACACATAATGAATGTTAACAAAAAAGAAAATAAGTATACAAGTATATAAGTATATTGCATAATATATATTTGGACAATGTATAAGTGTATAATATATATTTGGACAATGTTTAGTACTGGATAGGAAACACAGAGAGACCTTAGATATTTACTGTATTCGTGGATGCTAGTTATTGAAGTAAAAAAATGGCACCAATTTGCCATAGCACTATAGTCAAGTAATATCAGAAGTATTGAATTTATGGTTGTAGAAAATTGATAAAGCATGAGAAAGGCAGCAATCTGTTGATATCAAAATATGATCAAGTAATATCACAAGTATGGAATTTGTTGTTGTAGAAAATTGATAAAGCATGAGGAAGGCAGCAATCTGTTGATATCAAAATATGATCAAGTAATATCACAAGTATGGAATTTTGTTGTTGTAGAAAATTGATAAAGCATGAGGAACGCAGCAATCTGTTGATATCAAAATATGATCAAGTAATATCACAAGTATGGAATTTTGTTGTTGTAGAAAATTTATAAAGCATGAGGAAGGCAGCAATCTGTTGATATCAAAATATGATCAAGTAATATCACAAGTATGGAATTTGTTGTTGTAGAATATTGATATAGCAAGAAGAAGGCAGCAATCTGTTGATATCAAAATATGATCAAGTAATATCACAAGTATGGAATTTGTTGTTGTAGAAAATTGATAAAGCATGAGGAAGGCAGCAATCTGTTGATATCAAAATATGATCAAGTAATATCACAAGTATGGAATTTTGTTGTTGTAGAAAATTGATAAAGCATGAGGAACGCAGCAATCTGTTGATATCAAAATATGATCAAGTAATATCACAAGTATGGAATTTTTTTGTTGTAGAAAATTTATAAAGCATGAGGAAGGCAGCAATCTGTTGATATCAAAATATGATCAAGTTCTATCACAAGTATGGAACTTGTTGTTGTAGAATATTGATATAGCTAGAAGAAAGCAGCAATCTGTTGATATCAAA